GCGTACACACACACACACACACACACACACACACACACACACACACACAAGATCTTACTTAGGGCACTGCTTTGCCCTGCAGCTCCCCTCTAATGAGAGAAAAAGTCTACATTTCAATACGCAACCCAGTCCTATGCCAGACACAGAAGGAGAAGGTCTGGAGAGAGCGGTATCACCATATGAGTTGGGGGTTGATGTGCTTCATGGCATGGAATCATCGTAAAGGTGCATGATCCACAACCAGGGTGAATTAATTGCCAAGAAGGTAATATTGGAGTGCCTCCATAGCCCATTTCACAGCTAAGTCCTCTTTTTCTATAATGGAGTAGGCCTCTCTTGGGAACAATTTGTAACTCAGAATGGGATGTTCCTCACTATCAACCACTTGGGAGAAGACAGCCCCCATCCAGCTTCAGAAGCATCAGTGTGGAGGAGGAATTTCTTGGTGAAGTCCAGGCTGTATAAAATGGGCTCCCTACAGACGTGAGCCATTTGTGGCTAAAGACCTTCTCACAGGTTTCCGTCCAACGGATCTTTCTCAGGCTGCTGTTCTTGAGCAGATTGTTGAGAAAGGGCACAATAGATGAGAATCCTGGTACAAACTGGTAGCAGTATCCTGCCAGCCACTGCCCATCACCTGCTGTGGACACAGACCATGAGAAGTCCCACCTTCATGGGTCTGACAGACGGCAGCCCCATGATTCCTGATTGGCTCCCCACCCTATATAAATCTAAGGAAGTGTCCAGGGAACAGCATGGTTTCTTTGTAGCTGCCATGACGTCTCCCTGCTCCAATCTCAGCTTGATTGGGACTTTACCTTCTGACTTGGATCCCAAAATGTGACTTGGACTCTAACCCTTGTACTGACTCTGCCTTGGAACCTGACTATGCACTCCCCAGCTGCTCCCTACTTCAGATATTGAACCTGGCCCTTTTTGCTGCTAACTCCACCTTCACATGAGCTACAGATAGGCCTTCCCCAGCTTTCTATGTCTTTAAGAGATTGACATTCTGACAGGGCAATGTCCTGCTCCTGTCTTCTCTCTGTCTTCAGAGACTCAGGGACCTTAAGTTGTCAAACACCCCAGTGCAGATTATTTGCATTTGATCTTCCCACACCCTTACTGATCCATGCACCATAATTTTTTACAATTTCAGTTTCTCCTCAGTTCTCTGAGGAGAGGAGAGGGAAGGGATCTCTCTACTCAGAGATCCTTCCTGGTTTTGGTGCTGGGGGGGCTGCCGCTATTCAGGGTTCACAGTTTGGTTCAATGGCTCCCAGCCCCCCATGGTACAAATCCTGGGCATTTTGAAGCCCACCTGTGTGGGGATGTATCATCCCTACACCAACCTAATGGAAAGTTCCATGAGGAGGTAAGGGTCACGATGGGACACTTGCCAGGTAAACAAATCATGGCCTTATGTAAGGCCCCCTGGTGGTCTAGGATTATATAAGATAATCATGGCCTTATGTAAGGCCCCCTGGTGGTCTAGGGATTATATAAGATGAGGTAAACAAGGTAATAAATCATGGCCTTATGTAAGAAGCGGTTGAACCAATCGGTGTGGGGCTATACATGTGATAAACACATGATTCTCCTTCTTGTCCAATCCGTAGATGTGTTATTATAGCCTAATTGTGTTATGTAATGTTAAGAAAAAACTATAAAAGAAAGCTTGCAATAAACAGGATTCGGATTCAGCTTGCAACCACATTGGTCGTGTGTTTTATCCGCTCCGCATGGAACCCCACACACCTGGCTTTAGGTCATTGTGCCAGTTGTTGACTCTTTGCATGTCGCAGGGCGATGTAACGAGGCTGGTCAGGTTTTGGCTCTGCTAGTCTGCCTTTCTCTCCCCTGCTCTGCTTTCCTGTGCCTTTTTCTATCTTCTGTGTTAATGGGCCAATTTGCTCATTAGTCCTCTCCCAGCCCATTCTAATCCATTAATTAGGCCCTGACACAGAGTTAAACCTTGCTATCGGAGGCATAATCCCATGCTGTCTCTTGGTTTAGCCCGCAATAGGCAGCCTGTGGTTCTGTCCTGGTCAAGTAGGTGACTGGTAAGACTGCTCAGTGCTCCAATGGCCACCATGTTGTCACTGCCACCCATTGAAAATTTCCAAGAAAAGTCACTGGATCATCTTCAGGCCCCATCTTCATGAATCTGACTGGTACCAGGGCCAAGGCCAGGTCCGTGTCCACCAGACCCATGGTGGAAGCCTGGCCACTGTGGGAGGCTGCAGTCAGGTCACACCCTGTTGCACCAGCCTTTGTTGCAGCTGAGCAGCTAAGTTTCAAGTCAGTTGCTGCTCCTGAGTGGCCAGTTGCTGTCGGAGCCACTGTTGCTGCTGGTGTTGGTGGGTGTCCTGCTCCGCCATTGATTTCAGTAGTTGCTCCACATGCATATTGCTGCGGAGTCTCTTCCGAGAGTGTTGATGTTTTTTAAAAAATGTCCTGACCTCTTCCCTTCCCCTGGTGCTAGATCTGTGCCTGCATTCTCCCACCAGTTTGTTCTGCATGGGCTGCCTCTGTAGTGCCCCCTTACGGCCGTTCAGGGTATGATTCATCTATCTACAGGTCTCTGATAATATGTTGCTATGTCTACGAGGTACAAAGTGGTATTGCTTTTGCCCTCTAGTCAAGGCTCAGGTCACGCCCTGTTGCACCAGCCTTTGTCGCTGTTGCTGCTGAGCAGCTAAGTTTCAAATCAGTTGCTGCTGCTGAGTGGCCAGTTGCTGTCAGAGCCACTGTTGCTGCTGGTGTTGGTGGGTGTTGTGCTCCGCCATTGATTTCAGTAGTTGCTCCACATGCATATTGCTGCGGAGTCTCTTCCTTATGACAGAAGCTCAGGAATGCATATTTGTGCTAGCTTTAATCTAGCTAGTGTGACTAAAAATAGCAGCGAAGACATGGTGGCATGGACACTGGTGCAGGCTAGCAATGTGGAGTATATATCCAGGGTTCTGGGTGGGTTTGTACAGCCCATGCTGCCACATCTTTACTTCTATCAATGGACAAACTAGCTAGATTAAAGATAGCATGTGTACGCCTGCCTGAGCTCCAGTCATACCTCTGATTGCAGTGTGGACATACCTGTGTAACCCCTGAGACAGATTCTTTGGGAACACTCTTCTTTGATGACTTCTTCCAAGGTCCAGGACATAAAAGGATTTTATTCTCTATAGCCTTTAGAACAGGCAAAGAATTTCTGTATTTGTGCTTGTCATGAGCAATGAAAAAATAGTAGACTGGGATTTGCTACTACA